TTCTTGTTATCAGTGATATTTATAAACAATAATTTAATTATGAGAGCTAAATTTGAATTTACATTTTGGAAATTGATCGATGCAACTGATACAACTGATGTCATTTAACAAATATTGTAGTGATATAAGAAAGAGAGTTGAATGGGTAAGAAAAGTAAGGATATGGTGGAAGGATTCGCATGAACGTATATAAATTTGATGATCAGATCTTTTGATTCGAAAAGGATCTGAAGTGGGTGGAGGGATAAGATGGAGTAATGAAGTAAGAAGACTGGGTGGGTGATGATCATTAGTGGACGGTCAATTGTCACCGAGTTTGTTTCAAGAGGGTGAAATCGTTCCTCGGACAAAACTGATTGAGAATCCTTATCCCTTTAATAAGAATCCCTGTCTTCCCTCCCAAATCTCTCTCCAACTTCCTTTTTCCTCCTTTCCTCCTCCTCCTTCCTTTCCCTTCCTTTTATTTCAATTCTTCTCATTGCTTCTTTTGTGGATGGCTATTGTGTCCCTCTTTTTTCACCTTTAAAATATATGCAACATTTTGAAAATTTATTTTCCTTCATTTTTAAATTTTAATCGATTTCTTGTCTGGCGAAGTTCTTTTTAAAGTGCTGTTTCAAAAGCAAACATTTATGATTGTGAAGATCTTAAGGCTCTTAAACCCTTTAAATATTCCTAAAACAAATTCAACTAACACTTTATGCATAAACGTCTTGATATTTTAAACAATGTAAGCATTGGTTTTTCTTAATGATATTAATATTATTTCGAAATGTTTTACTATTGTCAAGCAATTTCGATCTCTGAAGAAATTTCATTAATTATTGGATAAAATTACCAATTAACACTGTTTAAAATATTTACCTTTTTATTATTAATCCATGCATATAAATTTAATAAATAATTCAAATATTTATTTTCTTTTTCTAATTTTTGATAATATCAGCTATTGCAATTGCCATACAGCAAAAAGATAATCATACTTCAAAGAAAATCCGTAATTTCTGGCCTCTGGATCCTTTATGTATTGCTGTCAACATTTCTGAAGCATTAATGCGGCAATATCGTGCCTGTTCATGACAAACTTCTTATCCAGAAATTGTCACTCCCATTATTACATACATCGTTTAAATTCATAATTAAACTTGGTTATGATGAAAGACCAACATTTTTTCATTTCCATTTCTGATTTTTGATCTTGTTTTCCTTCCATTCCCATAATTTTCTTGTAATTGATCTTGATCCTCAATTAATTGGTTACTTTAGCAAGCTAATTACCGCATCATTAAATTAAGAAATTACTTTTTCAAGAAATACTTGGCCAGTCAGAAATACATCTACAGTATTCGTTTAATCCCTATCTATCTTCCGCTGTCCTCCACAATGACCCTTCCTGTCGTTTATCCGTGAATTCAGTAAATGTCCTTGATTCTTGATGGTATTGTCCAAATGAGGAGCAGTCTGTCAAGTTCATTAAATAATTTAATGTAATCGACGGTTTACTTAGCATAATTTTGATTTTCGTTTGGAAAAAAAGTCGAAAGAATGTTTAGGTTGGAACAATCCTGAAATATTTTATATCGGAAAAATATTTCAAAATTCATGGCACACTTCGAAGCATAAACAACGCACGTACGCATTAAAGTATAACACAAATTTAATTCCTAATTTGCTTTTTGCTACTAAAATTTATCAATTTTGCTGAATTATCATTAAATATGCTACTGAATTTTATCGCTTCCTAAAAAATTGTTTAATATCATTGAAATTTGGTCCGCAAAGTTTTTGGAAATTTCGGAGTATACCGTATTGTGCACATTTATCCTACGAATCAGATTTGTCCAGGCTAGTAAACTGCAAGGAAGTTTGGGGACATAAAGCTGAGATTGAATGAATTGATCAAAACAAAATGATTTGGTGTTATTTATCATAAATACTAGAATATATGGAAAAGTTAACAGTTTTAGCATTGAAAAATATAATGTCATGATGGCGTTGCGTCATTTGAATTGGATTTAAAAAGAAATGTGACATCAAAAGTTGACTGATTTTTCGAAAGAATCTATCCATGGTATAATGTTAAATGTGAATTACATCAACAATTTGTCAATGGCATTCTTGATAATAGAAGTGACATCGATGTCATACTTTGCTTTGTTAAAATTTCGAATTTCACATTTGACGCATTCAGTCACATAAGAAATTCATTTTCTCATATCTAATTGAAAAGTTTCAATTTTATCTAAAAATCTTAACGATAACAGTAGCAAATGTTTATTTAATCTTCTTTTTCTCTCTTTTTTTCTAAAAGAATTAGGGAACTATTTGACGAGAATAAAACAGAAGAAAAAACTCTTTTTTGAAATTGAAATGTGATTTTAATAAAATTTTCCATTGATGTTTTGATGTTTTCTTGACTCTCTGACATAGAATTTACTACTTAAATTAAAGTTCGAAAAATTAAAACAATTTAATTTTTAGCAAGAAGTAAAAACTTTTTTAAAAAATATTTTTTAGTGAGGAAAAAGAAAATTACATTGAACATTTACATAAGCCATTCCTATGCAAAGTGAGGAAGAAAGGACAGAAGCTTTCTTGAGTGCTTACTTAATGGTTTTACTCCCTTACAAAGATTAAATTGAGCGTTACAAAACGAATATATGTACATATCGAGAGATGATGCAAATTGAAAAGGAAGGAGAAAGAGAAAGAGAAAGACATTGGCGGAAGTGGAAAGGAAAGCGGAAGTAAATAGGCGCAAAGGGACACAAAAAAGATATTGCTTATTTGCAGGAATGGATGCAAATTCAATTCGCGTAAGTAAGCACCGATTTTTTGTTTCTCTTTTTTTGAAACAATTTTAATTTATCCATATATGACAGAGTAGAAGCTATTAATTTTCTCATTTGTTATATTACTTTTCTTTTTATTTCTCTGGAAAAGTGATACTGATTGGAAATTTGGTTATGACGGAATAGTACAGCTATATCATAACTAGCATTTGTTTTTTCATTTAACTTCAGTTAAAAGTGAAGGATTATTAGCAATTTGCATGCCTACTCAATCATATCAATAAGCAGCGATTACTATCACGTACTGTAAACGAAAAAAGTGTGATAGCTGAAATAGTACGTATTTGGCATTAAGTAATCTTAATGAAATAATAAACTTTGCAAATGAAATCAATTAATTTACATCCAAATACTTTTTATTTTTGCATTAAAACTTTGTTATCAAAAAAGAACGAATGTTTGTTGCTTCTATTTTTTCCTTTTTAATTAGAAGATGTCGAATATAATTTTATAATTGCGATGGTCGTTAATAATTTTCAAAGAATAATGTGACAGAAAAGGCATGCAAAGCCTAGGCCAAATAAATTTAATCAGCTTAGCTAAATCCTCATTTACTCATTTTTGAAATGGAAACATTATTTACAATTTGCTTTTCTTTCCCTTTTTTTCCTTTCCAATTCCTTCCTTTTTTGATGAAATTGAAAGAAAATTAAGACTTCCCTGGCTAATTAATTGTGAATCTTCTTATTACCACATGAAGTGAAACCATTGTGATATCCTAAAATGTTGTAATTTTCAAGTAAATTTAAGGAATTATTCGAAAAACTTTAATACAGGATAAATTGATGTATCCTAGAATTATTACTCATATTTATCATAAAATTTCAATTTTAAAAATTTTAAAACTTTAAAATTGCTGCTAGCAATAGAACGCAATGTGGAAATATTGAAAAGTGAGTTTGAATGATAGTGTTAGTTGATTGATAATTGTTCCACTTGGGATAAAATGTCATTTGCATTATTGAAAATGTCATTTCATTTACTTGACATGCATGAATTGACCTGCAAAATTGTTAAAATTTCGTTCAAAATTGTAGTTAACAATGAATAATTTATGTATACCGAAATTATTTCAGTTTATAGTTCAATCAAAACAGAAATCTGTCACTTTAATATTAAAATGATCCATTAATTCCTTATACGATTTCTTTTTCAAGTAAGTATTTAGGATTTTCTTTAGAGATTTATTCCATAGTTGGTTAATGTAGACACTATTTTAAGACTTCCTTAAATGATGGAAAATAAGAATTGAATACGAGAGAAGTGTCGTGCAAGTAGAGTGATTTTAAAATGATTCAACCAAGCTGTACCTAAAATTTCACTTCTTTTTTCTACGATTGATCATTAATCATTACATTTTATTTCTCCTTTTGTTCTATGAGCATATAAATTTGCCAAAGCTATAACGATGCACGGCAATATTTTTTCCTTACAATGTGACCTTGTGCTAGGATAACCTTTGAATCATATCGCTGTAGTTTTAGGTCAACAATAATTGTCGCAGAGAAAATAAGATGTAAATTATTGTTTGCTATGTTAAGTTGTATGCTTAAGGAAATTGTGAAGCCATTATGCTAAGGAAAGTAGTGAGGTCACGCTATACAATACTTATGTTTATCTTGTGTCATGTGTCAAATTATTTCCATAATTCTTCCTTATCAATTTCTAATAAAAAAAATTAGAAATTTAAAAGTCTTTTTTTAAAAAAGTATTAATTACGATGATAACGCTGTTCTCATTTTAAAGTTTCAATTATCGATCATATTTGCAGTTATTACTTAATTATCCTAATTATCGGTCAATCAGATGAAAATTCTTCTTTGCACTGCCTAACTTATAGAATTGCAATTTCAGGTAATTTACATTGATTACATGTCGATATCTATTTAACTAAGCGTTCTAACAATTGTAGTAAAGTTACATCGGAGTCAGAGCAAAATATGAGATAAAGAAAGAGCTAATAATAGAACTTCCAGATGCAAATTTTTCTTGTCTAAAGGCGCTTTATTTATTGGAATTCATTAATTATGAGTGTAATTATTTTCAGAGGATTTGAAGAAATATAAGATTAAATGAAATTTGTTGAAAAGCTAATTTGTATGGATTGAATGAGAATTAGGCAGATGGCATGGAATTGCTATTTATGAAATGTATCGCGCACACTCATTTATTTCCATTATTGGTATGCATTCATTACGAGTTATTCATTAAATTCAGCACCATTTTATTAATTTTAATTTAAACAAAATGACAACTACTCGGACTTTTGAAACGTTACTTTTGTTTATTCATTATTAATAAAATTTATAGAATTATTAATGGATGTTTGTGATTTTGTGCAAAAATAAATTCATATCAAAGTTTTCCTTCCTTTTTTTGCTCTTTCGTTTTAAGGACATTTAAATCAAATATTGTGAAAATGAAAAAGCAAAAATTTTAAAGTAAGTAAAGTTTGAAATTTGAAACTCTAATGGATATTTAGTTTATATTTGAATAAAAAGGAAATTAATTTTAGCAGTGCTGCTAATACATCCAGAATTCGCAACACTACATTGTTCTCTTCGAACTAACGAAGCTGTTCAAAGGTGCGTACAACCGATTGCTCAGTATGCTAAGGTCCTTAATCAAGAGGTTAGTAGCCAAGCTTCTCGTTCCCAACATTTTTAACGTTTTGCAAGTTGATTGATTGCAAGTAAATCTATTGGAAATCCTTTTTTTCTATAACATCTTATAATATATGACAAAGACAAAAAAAATTAATGTGATAGCCATGAAATGGTATACATATAAAGTATGCCGTACGTGATGAACTGATGTCATCGTTCTCGTCTTTAGCTATTCACCTTTCCGGTACGGATATTTGTCGATACAAAACCTGAAATTAAATGACTTCATGTAACCAGAACTCTTTTTCCTTTTCCGGAAATGATACATCAGAAAGGAAGACTTAGATATTGATATTGAATCGAGACAGAAAGCTTAAAAGGAAATTATTCTAATTCCACAATGAGTATACAACATTAAAAATGATGGAATTAAATAGGAAATTGGATGCTTTAAATTAAAGATTGTAATCTTAGCTAAACTTTGCTTCTTTTTTCTTTTCAAAAAACTATAAGCGGTAAGAAATATTTCTTATTGGAAATATTAGCCAAAAGTATGTCTTTTAATTAATAAACATTCATTAAATTGGAGATTTTTTCTAAAAATTAATTCTAAACTTTAAGTAAATCATTTCAAAATTAAACAATTGCCATCGTACTTCATAGCTATTAACGTAAGCATAAGAGTAGGTGTTAAAGTTAACACGAATAAAATTGCTTCCCATAAAAGAAGTCACATGGGAGGCGCTGTGATGATTGATCAAAAGAAGGAAGTAAAATGATTTATATGAAACGACAAATGATGGTCAGTTATGATCGAGAAAATGACCAAAACTTTCATCAGAATTGCCCTCATTCTTCATCTTTTACTATTTAATGAATGGCAAATTACTAATGATTAAGTTTTCCTTACCGTTAAAACTTGACCATCACGGACTATTCTTTCAATTGTACCTCAATCATATTTAATTTTTATAAAAATTTAACATTTCAAATCATTGTTTAAAGGATGAGCAAAACTTATCAAATACTGCAAAAAACGGCTTTGGTCAAGCGATTACATTACCAAAAATTGGGCGATATGTATTTCGCGAGCTTTGCAGGTTACTTTTTTTACTTCTCAGCAAATTTCATATTTTTATCGAATCAAAAAAGCATAATGCTTCATTATTTTGACACTGAAAAATACAAGAGAATATTTTTTTAGAAAATATTCTTTCAAATGTTACCGATATAGAATATCTTTAAAGTACTTGAAATAGTTGAAGTGGTTTGAAATTAATTATAAAGCAATTAACCTAGCAATTCTTTCTGACAATTAATTAATGATTATTTCACCACCAAATCAAAGAAATGCACAGAAGGCGGTTAGTGTCAATTTATAGATTAGTTGGAAATTTCAATGAATGCGTCTACAAGTTGCGCCAACAATGTCCAGAACATATCACAATAAGCCTCATTGATGCTTCCTATGGTTTCTTATGCAACGAAGGATATGAAAGTAATTTTTCTTTTTATATTCTAAAATCCACTAAATTATTGATTGTTTAATAAATAAATTAAATTAACATTGAAGTGATTGAATAATCTCTGATTTCTAATAATTAATTCCAAATAGATTACTGCAAAAATTACCTTTTTCAAAAGTACATTCTCTGACAATAAAATTCTATAATTGCTTGAAATTTTATCATGTTTAGAATTGATTCAAACGAAAAATTTTTAATAAGGACTTAGTCCCAAGAATATGACAAATTGGTTCTAATAATAAAACATAGAACTGGCATGACCAATTATTAATTAACTAATAATTCATTATAGCGTTCATGGCAAGTGCTGAATGTTTAGTTGAGTTAGATCGACAGCCAACGGTAAAACAGTGCCACGAAATTACTTTAAAACATATCGAAACAGCCAATTATCAACTTAACACAGCAACATTAATTCGATTTGATAAAATGTGCCAGTAAGTTGTCTTTAATCTTACACTGAAACTTAATAAAAATTATAAATGAAACTTTTGTTTTTTTTTTTAACTAAAGTTTTTATTTCGAATTATTATTAAGTTCCACTTTATCTATCGACAATTCGTATTTCTTAGTTTTTTCTCTTTTGTTAACATCAAAATTTTTATTTTCTTATTTGATAAAAAAATTTTTTCTCATATTTGATTGTGAAAGAATGAAAAATGCGAGGAAAAGAATTAAAATCATTTCTTCAGGGCTCTCAATTATTTTGCGAGTTGTGTAGAACGACCGATAGCATATGGTTGTGGTGCCGAAGCTTGGACAATGATATTTCGAGTCCTCAGGGATACAACCAATGCCCTGTTGCCGAGATGTCAATTTACGGGACATTCAATTTTGACTGACACTTCTCCTCCCTCTCTATCAGAAGCATTTCCATTCACAACTACCGTTGCTTCTATGCATGATGAAAATGATTTATTACGATATAAGGTGCTCTTTTCTCTCCTCAAAATTTAATTTATTAACTTTAATTATAGCTTAATTATTTAATTACAATTTAACAGCTTTGCTTTACAGTTGGGTTTTTTTGGCGTGTTAGAAAAATCTTGGGTATATAGGATAAAATTTTCAAATAATTTCTGATATCTTTTTAAGATTTAACTTTGTTTCAAACCTATCAATAGAAGTAGAAGAGATTTGAATTACACCAAAATATATGAGAAATAAAAAGAAGCAAGTTAAGGAAGAGTGAAAGTTTAATTAGAAATTTTTAAACTTGCAAACAGATTTGAACTATGAGTGATTTAAAAGTTGCATTAAAAATTTAGGAGATGTTAAATGATAAGGCAGAAATTATTTGGTCCAATGAAGATGTAACAACAAGTTCAATATCTGAAATGGATAGCAATAACAGCGAAAAGTTTGCTGAAGAATTACCATCCGATCATGATGCTGATCTAAGAAGAAGTGCACTAAATGGTCAAGGTGAAAGGCCAAGAAGTGAAATTAGTGGACATGTTTTTATTGATAGGGATACTGATATTAGTTATTATGATAATAGCAATGATAATATTGAGGAAGGTGCTAGCAGAAGCAGCTTTTTGGAAGCTAACTCGGCCAATCCTTCCCATCTTGTCGTTATTATGCTTGCGCAATTTGTATCTCTTGGTTGGCTCATTTTCATATTTTGCTAATTTTATCAATTTTCAAATATTACTAGAATATTTTACAGATCATTTTATCGATGTAAACCTAACAATGGAGAAATGATTCTTTTTATCACTTTTGTACTCTTTGTAATATGTTTACATATATTTTCCTTTTATTCCCCAAAGTTTTCGCTTTTTATTTTATTTAAAAACTTTCGTATATTTGCTAAAATTTAATTGAACTTCAAATGACGGTGAAAAGTTTTTTTTTGATACAATTCCCATTATCAGAACAAAATTAAATCATTTTCTTCGCTATATCAGTATATGATCAATCATATCAATTTTGATCTTCCCTCTTTTATGAGCTAATGTATAATATCGTTTATTGTTTAGAATTATCTTAAACTTTTGAATATATGTTGATGCATAATCGCTGACACAAGTTGTAAAATGTTTGGCTAATTTGGTTGTTGGAAAAAATTTTATCCAGCGATCATTCTATCATATCATTCCAGCTGCTTCAACGATTTATGATACGTATGATCAATTATAATCAATTTCTTGTTTACTGGAATAATATTAGAGCTGTCCATTACTTTTTAACCATTCCGATTAAATTATCGTAAATCTTTTGTTGTAATATTTGTTATTTGATAACTTTATCATAATTTCTTGTATTATCAATTATTTACATTTTTCTCAAAAAGAGAATTGCTTTCTGAAAGCAAAAATTACGGCATTCTGTGTATCACACGCGAGAAATCCTTCACAAAAATCACCACCTCCGATTATTGTATTACATGATCTCCCTTGCTCTTATATCCTCCAATATCTCTCCTCATTTTCCCGCGCTATAATATACACATGTACTTTGCCTATGTAAGGCATCAAATCCTCATTCATTCCTTCTTCTTCCTTTGGGTTTATGCGTTTGGGTTTTCTGTGCCTATTTCATGTTGCTATGAGCTTAATTACCCAAGTTCGAGGTTTCACTCGCAATAAACTATAATTCAACGCGTGTCTTCACATCGTTCTTCTGTTTCAATCAA